TCAGTAAAACAATACAAGCTTGTTGACATTTCTGCTTTCACAAAAGATGTGTTTGAAAGGGATATTTGTTTATGTTATTCTTCATGATGAGAAATAACCAAGCCTTTAGAAATCAGGCAAATTATTTGCAGCAAAGCATTTTTGAAACATATTGTCCTTCATGGATTGAGTGATTTGCTGTAAAAGCGCCGTTTCCCTATAGTCACATTCTTTGATGATTGTGGTCATTTTTATACTTTCCCATCATTGTGCACATACCTCAGAGTCATCATGTAAACGTTTCTTGTCTAGAATCAGGCTCAAGGGTATGACAACAGACACAAAACCGCTGGAGTTATCTGAAATGTTTTCTGATGACTGCTTACGCCCCGGCCACAGCTGCTATGGGTGTGACAGCATGGAAGAGGCTGTGGTTTACTGTAAAGAACTGATAAAGGCCGGCCTTGCTCCTGACACACAGCCACCTGCTGGGATGAGACATAGGTTGTTCTGTGAAATTCAACAAGACACTTTCAACAACACTGTGTTTTGTCAATACATTTATTAAGATGTATATGAATGTATTATATTCATAGTGGACTCATTTTTAACCTTGGTTTAAATGTTATATTGTATGTAGCTTTTTATAAAGCTGTTTTATTATTTATTAAAAAGACAATCTATTATCATGCCTTTTATTTTTTAAATGTAAACACTAATAGACAAATATGCAGGTAAAAGCTGCATTTTCTCTGGAAACACAAAATGTCTATAACATTGATTAATATACAGTTTTAACAATAAACATGGACATTTTTTGTCCGTCAATCTCGTAAACACCATCCTGTGCTGTCATACTCACTAGCGCAACAAATGTGTTAAATCAGCAGCTTGAAATAGGCCCCAACACATATCCTGTGCTCCTCTTTTTAAGAAACATTTGCTAAAAAATACAGTGCACAGCCATTTTTTTCCTTAAAAAATGGGATGGGATTTGTTGACAATATCAAAGATTCATAATATATCCAGCCTTCTCCTTTAGCGACTGTCAGTGTGCACTTCTTTTAAAAATAACTGAGTGTTTATATTCCCTGGTTTAATGAATTCACTCTTGTTTTTGACCCTGGAGTATCCAGCTTTGTATGTATATGATTCAGGAAGAGGGGGGAATCCTGGGTTTGGTGATAGAGGGGAAAGGTGATCATCAACATCAAGAAGAGCCCGGGTGTGTGAAAGATCAGTGCACCAGTGTTGTGTCTGACACATGAACCATAGAAATGCCCGCTCTCCCACAGATCTTTCTTCTCTGTTTCTTATCTCCAGTGTGATATGCAACACTTTGAAGAGCGCTCGGGTATGATATGGGAGATAATTAAAAACTGACGACTGTTGTTTTTCATGTGGGGTCATGGGCAAAAGAAAGAATGTACATGCTGTTTCAAAGCGGAGTTGACATTGAATTCAAAAGAATCTTAAAAAGGTATAACATGACTGTTTCAAAATGTATCCTTAATTGTCTAAGAGTGATGATGGCCAGGGCGTTCAGATTATGTTATCTCAAAGAGCAGAAGCCTCACTGTCACAAATGTCCAAATAGTGCTCTGAGAAAGTAGCAAGGGAAGACAGAGGAATTATTGTTCTGCCTGACTTTTGATTTAAATAGTAACCATCTCCTAGAGGCCACAGGCAGATAGGAGGGCGTTGATGAAACATTACAATACAGTACTGTTCCGTTGTTTGCCAGTTTTCATGCCTGAGAAGTTGTACCTTATTTATGCCACAGTCTGCACATCAAAAATAACACCTTTATCTTTTTCACCGTCCTCTCCTATATTATATCACAACCATTTTTCTAAATAAAATTGTTTTTTTTAAGTTAATCTTGTAAGGTAAAGCACCATTGCTCTCGTTTACAAAATAGGAGCTTTACAAATAGTCTATCTGCAAATGCAGTAGTATGAATAATACAGATGTTTATTAAAGTGGAAAGTATTTTTTGTAGTTTCAGGTGCTCTGCCAGGTCATCTTTGTAGTTTATCATGTGTCTCTGGCAGGAACAAACCCATCTCAAATTCCCTCTTGCTCATAATGCTGTAGAAAGCTTGAGTCTTGTTGTATTTCTTGTTAAGGGTCAGAGGCAATATTGACCATTTTCCTTCCTCTGAACAGTGATGTTGTTTTAAACCCTGGCTAAACCAGAGATTGATCTCAAGAATGGGTGTATTTGGGGACTGCCATCCGTCATAGGGGCTGAAAGGGTTGTTTTCTCCTGGCCCCGTCACCTTTGATGAATCCCCGCTAAAGACTCCACTGGGGAAGGCACGGCTAGCATTTGCCTTGGCTCAGAGGCACGCATTTTATTGACTCTCTACAGATACTTTTAATTGTGCCACAACCTTTTGTACTTGCAGCACATTACTTTAGTTGGTGTTTGTTTGTAGTGGGTGGACAACGGAAGGTTTTTCCTAACTGTTTGGGGAGATATTAATTTTCTTTGCTACTATTTGGAAGTCTCTTTGTGGACATCCTCTGAATGTCTGGGTGTTCCTCAGGGATATGGGTCTGCCTTTGCGCTCGTTTATTTCCAAGTATAGAGTAAGTCAGAGAGCACTTTATCTTTTCCTTGACCACAAACCACCCAGATAAATCTGTGTTTCGCTTTTAGCAGCTTTTGTAAGGTTATGACCGTTGTGATGGATGTCATCAGATACACTTGGACTATAAAATTGTCATATATTACCCTTTGCTAAAACTGGGGGATAAACTGGGGAAACTTGTAACATAGATGGTGCCTCATTGTAGTCGAAAAAAGGGTCTGCTGTTATGCTTCTTCTTTTAGGCCCATTTGTTGCTTCAGAGGAATCTACTCGACATGTTATCAAGCTGGTCTTGCTGCTACTTGTCAAACTAGTTGTTTTGCACTAGCATCTTGAATTTTCACTATCCAATAATCAATATACTTAACACTTAATCTCTGTTGACTCCTTCCAGTAACCCAGCATGTAAAGAGCATTAAAGGAAAGCTCTGTAAACGTGTGCAATATTAATTAATGCTACCTCAGCAGCTTGCTAGCTAATTTCAACACTCTCTCAGTGACTTCAGACTTCCCTCTCTGTTTTTGAATGTAATGTCCCTCCTCCCCCCACCTCTTCTTTTTAAGTTGAATCCGGGGTCACTGACATTCACTGGAATCCTAGACTAATATTCCAGATGGTGATGACAGGAACTGGCTTACACTCTTCACCTTGCAGCATCATGTCCGTGAATTTTTAGTGCCATCTCGAAATTGAGTGTATAATAAAAGATGAAGTTACATTGTAAAACTCTCTCTTGTGGCTAATTTATCTCTGCCCATCATGTTGTGGTCTAAATGATCAAGGGGCTCATTTGTCACAAGTAAAGAACTCATGTGACTGACAGCTTGAGATTTAGGTTTGTTATTTTAATTTTCATTAAGTATAATGTCAAGCAATTGCAGATGCAAAATAAAAAACTTTTATAAACACCGTAGACGTTTCCAACTGTCCAGTATTTAAAGATCTCTTATATGATGTTATTGTCTCATTTTATAATAAGCAATACAATATGCAATCACTTTAAAGACTTATAAGTTTGATTTATATAAGAGTAAAAATAGTTTCACAGTTTTCATCTCATAAATGATTGTTACGCTACATATAATGTATACAAGGTTTATTCTTAAAAAGCCAAATAGTTAATAATTGTTGCCGTTTCAAGCCTTCAATGAAAAGGAGGAACCCGGCAGCTAATCTGACAAATATAATAATGTTTAAAGATCCACAGCAGCTGTACTGAATTTATGTTTTTATTCCAACTTACTGCATTCCTGTGTAGTTCCACATTGAGTTAAGCTTTTGTTGAGGTCAAAACCTCTATCTCTTAAGCGCTGACACACACACACACACACACACACACACACACACACACACACACACACACACACACACACACACACACACACACACAAACTCCCCCTCTCCTCGACCAATAAATAATTATCCCTTTGTGTGATGTGGCTTAGCTCCAAGGCCAAGCAGTTTGTGCAAGTTGCTTTAACAAAAACAGTTCTATTCCCAAAATGGAAAAATTGATACACTCAGAGCTCATTTTCTGCAGGTTTAGCTATTTTTACATTTTGAGTAATAATAAATAAATCTTTGATTCTGTTTATTAGTTATTCAATACAGTCTTTTTTAAACAGCCATTTCCAGCCAATATATTAAACAACAAACTCTCCTGACTTTCGATACGTAAACAAGTAGAACACATATAGGTTAAAAGTCCAAATGCAACTTCACCAAAACAAATATGTTATATTCTGATGCTCGCATTGCCTCTTTAATTTATATTGTATATTTGTTAACTTATTTTGAAAGTGAGGTGTATTTCATGTAACCAATGAGTCAGAAGAGTCAGAAATGATGATGAATCTCTGAGAACGGCCTATATCTATTTTAGTTTAGTTGTTTTTAAAATGACATTGATTTAAGTTTTAAATATTTTGTCGACACACACTGAACATTCAATATTTTTTTATTTTACAAATCTCATCCATGAAAACAAAAAATTACAGTTTAATCTGCGCAAACATGGGCCTTGACACGAAATAGACTTACACTCTTGTTCTTACGAATACTCTTGTATCAGTTTTATGCTTAAAGTCAGTACAGTCATTCTGAGAAATGTATCAAATACTCTCCTTCTTGCAGACACTTATTCATACACACTAACATAAACATTTAATATGAGCAACACTTGAACTTGAACGAAGATGGAAGAGCAACACTCGCTCATGCAAATGGGATGTTAGTCAGAATCTACTCAGAAGTGCAGTCGCCGGGGGTAAGGCAAGGGAGTCATCTTCTCCTCAGCCTCCCTCGCTCCTCCCCCTGTCCAATGGGTTCTGCAGTATTAGAGCCTTCAGGAGAGTAAGGAAAGTCAGACATTATAGAGACAGAGGGACAAGGACTGCTGCCCTCTCAGACTCCCACTCCTAATACAGGGTGCTTGAAATTTGGTGTCCACATTTAGGTCATTCATTCATTTATGTTCCAGTTCATGACTTGTGTGAGGAAAGATGGCTGCTATAGTGTGTTGTGACCACTGATGTTTGTTTTTGCGGAATAGTTTGTTCCCTGCTTCTTTAGGTTGTTGTTTTTTTGTTTTTGTTAAACTTTTTTAGGAGACATTATAACTGAGACTCCCAGCTTGTGGAATACCAGCACTTATTTATTTGGACTGTCTCAACCTGCTTTCTACAATGCTGACCGACCCGTGTGGAGCCATGTCGATGGGGTCAGATGTTCGGGATCTGACCCTCCTACCTCCAGTGCCATCCTTACCGGGCGCTGGTGGTGGCTGTGGGATGTCTGTTGGGGGTGGTCAGTGGACCCAACTGCTGGACCACCACCCCGGCTCTCCCTACAGCTCCCTGCCCTCCCACCACTCCCTCATCAAGCAGGAACCAGGTTGGGGGACCGCTGATCCGATCGAGGACCCTCACTGTGGACTCGGCATCACATTTCACTTCTCAGGCCAGTTTACAGGCTCGGCCCCCAGTCGAGTTGGGGCCTTCAGAGAGCCAACTGGAGGTCAAGCGAGGATGTTTCCTAATACCTACCTGCCCGGCTGCATGGACAGTCCTCCTACACACAGGAACCAGGGTAAGCGTGCACATCCAGTACTACAAGTCTTCTTATTAGCTTAATGTTAAATATTAGTCACGACAAATGAAGAGCACACACTTATCAATAAATCTAGACTTTATTACTGTTTATTTCGATTTTTACTTTGTTATTTCCTATTTCCTGCAGTGTATGTGGATGATATCACTCCATGTTATGGGTTGTCAACAGTTTTGTGTCTGAGCAGGATGTTTTGTGCTGTACTGGGTCATTCTGTCCCGTGTCAGGAAAAAGCTTGACAGCTTTCTGGTAATGCTCTGGCAGACATCTAGACTGAGCCACACACAAACTCCCTTGCCATTTTAAAAGTCATGCACATAATTATGTTTAACTAACAACAGGTTTTTGAAAGTATTATGGGACAGCAGAATGAATATAAAAATATCACTAGCATTGGGTCAAAGCAACCCGAGCTAATGGTTATCCAATATTGCATACATACCAACCAATTTAATGAATACACATATATACTTTTTTTTTTTTTTTTTAAAGATAGTGACGGGTTGAGCGGCCACAGTGAATGTTGCAGTTCATACACACTGTTCAGAAGAAGCTTAGATCATCCAGTAAATTCAAATTGGCCAAAGACCAAGACCAAGAACACAAACATACTGAATGTGCTCATCAGCTCGAATGAATGAATTATGTTCAGGTTTTGCATTTTTGAGTTTATTGGCCTGTGGTAATTTTAAAATGACATGGAGTTTTAAAAGTGAGTACATAATCTTCAAAATAAATCCTCTGACCACAATTGCTTGGTTTAACAAAACAACTTCTTATGCTATTAAAAAAATATAGATGTGATGTGATACACATTGAATCAATAGCTTTATTTACTACGATTTTTTTTTAAATCCCAGCAAATCTGCACAAAACACATGGTAAAAAATCAAAACTTTTATATATTTGGAATCTTAATCCGGCACCAAACTTAATTTTAGTTTCCTGTCAAATCTTAACATTGTGATATCTCTTCCTTCTCTGTAAACATTGCGTGTGAATGTTGACTATTTGGGCTTAGAGGTCCAGTGTATGTGTGTCTGCTGATATGACTTTCAGGAATCACTATGTAGCAAGTCCTGTAGTAATAATAAACGCTAAGCGTAGTGCTATGCAGACTGCTGGGATTTAAGTAAGAATTTGTGAGTCATTTTTACTCCCTCTCGGGGCTGGCTCAGGAAAAATAGAGGTTGCACTCATGTTGTGCTTGAATGATCACTTTTACATAGCTTTCCTCAAATGCAACATTTTCTAAAATGTATTACACTTTAATAATTGCAATCATAAACATAATGTTAGTTAATGTTACCATGCGTGTCCCTTATAGCTGTAATTAAATGAGCATACATTCAACCTTGTTTTTCTACCAAGAATATTCTACAGTAGCTCATCTCAGTCCGCCTGTGGTGTGTTTGCCAAATTTCTTTTTCCACCTGCCATAAATAATGAAACCACAAGGCCAAAGATAAATGGGAGGAAAGAGAATGTGTTACAAGAAAAAAAGATTTAGTAGTTTGATAAATGTGTCTCTGTGTTGACCCTGCCAGGGACTAAGAGCTACTACCAGGGGATTCAGATAACTGACCAGATACTGCAGACCCTGCATGTTTTATTCGCAAGATGATAATCTAAGTGAATAAGATCATTTTAACTTTCCATTGCTTCTCTTTGTGTTTTCTCTTTTTTAGGTTATGGCGCAGTGGGTTTAGACAGCAACCCCAGTTATGGTCACACTCCCTCTCATCACAGCCTGTCCTTCAAACACGAGGACACTCTGTCACCGCAAAACAACATAGGTAACTGTCTGCGTTGTGACGCCTTTTCTCAGAATTGACTCGCAGACCGGAAGACTGTCATGTCACAGCAAGGTTATATAAGTAACCCGCCATTTTTCACATCAAACAGAAACGCTATTATCCATTTTTCCTTCATCTCTCTCCGTCTCTGTCGGCACACACATTCATACACGCAGGCATACATAAACACAGCCTCCTCTCGCTCTTTAAGCATACGTATGGTTAATGACTCTGGAAATGATAACTTGAGGAAACAGCTTTATGTGACTCTGCTGGAATGTCAAAAACTGTCTGGGGACTAATATACTATATGTACCTGAAAAGAACCACTGTTTCTGATTGACCGGGTCTCTCTTTGAAAAGAAGTGCAGACGTGCATGTACACAAGTGTGCATGTGTTTTTTATATTCATTTTAATAGTATATTTTAGCTCCAGCTTAAAAGATATAGATGATAAGCTGCTGAATGACAATAGAAACTTAAAGGGGACCTATCATGCAAAATGCACTTTTGTACGTCTTTTATACATGAATATGTGTCCCCGGTGTTCCAGGGAACTCACCAAGTGTCAGAAAACACAACCCTCTCTATTTTCCTCCATACCCAAATCTCCAAAAAAGGGGCTGCAACGGATCTGATAAAAACTGATCCAGATTTGAACACTGTCCTGACGTCAGGATGGTGGCGCTACGGCTATTGGGCCAACTCCACCAATCAGGAGGAGACAGCCACGGCCATTGCCGTTCGAAAGCGCTGGAGACAAAAACAGAGCTAGAAATTGTCAAATTGAGCAAAATGAGGCATGGCTAAAATGCATGATCTGTTTGGTATTTTGAAAAAAAAAAAGTATAAATATGCCTTATATAGGTATGGTCCTACACTATATTATTCAAATATAGCATGATAGGTCCACTTTAAACAACTAGAAACATGTGAAGTTCCTTTGTCGATAGGTCGATCACAAGACAATTATTCATTCATTTTTTATTTGACCAAGTGTAAATATGTGCCAGTTTTGTTAGTGTTCTGCAATAAGTAAATAAGAATATTTGTGTGAGTTTAGCTTGAAAAAACAAACAAGCATTTTAATTATTTCAGCTTACTTTAAGTGACGTTAAATCAATTTGTTGATAGGTTGATCACAAGATAATCAGTTATCCTCAATTGTAATAATGATTTATTAATGTTTTTATTTTTACCAAAAGTGTGTATACTTGCATGTTTCCTCAGTCTTCTATGATAGGTTAAGTATCTTTGTGTGAGTGAAGCTTGAATAAAACAAGCATCTTGTGAACATACTTTTTAAAGACCAAACTATTCATAAATTATGGAAAAAATAAGCAACTTTTGTATTTTCATTTACTTTTCAGTTGACCAGCAGTACCCAGCTCCTCCTCCCATGTTTGGCTGCCACAATCCTTCAGAATCGTGTCCGAGCAGCCAAGCTCTGCTGCTGAGAAACTACAGCAGGTAATCATTTGTCCCTGCAGGCGCTTATTGTTCCTGTATTTGACTCCTGCTACTTTGAATCCTCCATCGGCACAATTCGGCCTTCCCAAGCGCTTTTAGACTCCTCACTCGTCAGCTAATGTCAGATTCTTTCCACCAACACCCCATGCAGCTCGCCCACTTGCTAGTAATTTTGAGAAGTGTGAACTCTCTCTGATCCTACGTTAAGCCCTGCGTCTGCCTCTCCACGGCCTGGATCCTCAATCCTAATTTGTTCTGAGGTTAAGTGCTGCCCACTGGTGCTCAGCAGGCCAAAACAAACACTGAGTGATCTACTGCTCATGTGTCTGAGTCCACCCTGAGGAAAAACGAGGGGAAAAGTAAAAGAGACAAGTTCAGTGAAAGTGAAAGTGAAGTGGGGGATGTTGGGTTGTTAAAGCTGGGAATCGTCTCATTTTAACCTCTGAATGTTTTACCAACGTGCTTTCAATTTGATGCAAAACATCTGAAGGGGTAAATAAGGGTAAAATACCTCGAATACCACCCTGCTATGTTGTTGGAGAAAAGGAACATGTGCAACCCAAATACTGGAACAGAAGTTGATAAGAGGAAGGAAGCTGTTGTTAGAGCAAGAGCTGGAAACCCTCAAACAAACACGGAGACATCCACAAGGACATGCACATGCACACGCTCTCACACACACACCATGAATATATGTCAGATACCAGTGAGTCTTTCCACAGTGTAACATAGCTCAGAGCTGATTAGAAGCCATCTCGATCCTTCCCTCAAGGACTTCTCAAGGAATGCCGTCCAGAATTCCCCCGAAACTGGTTCCCGCCTTTTAATGATACTGAGGACAGAGTGATGTCATGCACTGGTCCACGGTGTACTAGGCACGGAGGCACTCACCCCCGCAGAGTGCACAACTGCATCTCCAATTGTGTGTGTGTGTGTGTGTGTGTGTGTGTGTGTGTGTGTGTGTGTGTGTGTGTGTGTGTGTGTGGTGTGTGTGTGTGTGTGTGTGTGTGTGTGTGTGTGTGTGTGTGTGTGTGTGTGTGTGTGTGTGTGTGTGTGTGTGTGTGTGTGTGTGTGTGTGTGTGTGTGTGTGTGTGTGTGTGTGTGTGTGTGTGTGTGTGTGTGTGTGTGTGTGTGTGTGTGTGTGTGTGTGTGTGTGTGTGTGTGTGTGTGTGTGTGTGTGCAATAGTGTGATCTGCCAAGGTACAGATTGGCTCAGAGCCCATGTTTTTTAATGAAGCCAGTGAGGAGTGTGCTGGGTGGACAGGATGTGCTAATAAGTGAGCCATTTGAAGTTCCCCCAGTATTATCCATACAAGGGAAGAGAAATGACAGGAAGAATGCAGAGTAACATAAATATTGTCAGTTTTATAGAGAACAAAATTAATAAATGTTCAGTTATTATTTTCCCTTCATCTGTCCCACCCTCAAAATTAACCTCCATAACATTTTGAATTATTGAAGTACAACATCTTGTTCACCAATCAACAAAAACCAAACATTTTTTACGAAAATTGCCCAAAGCTAATAACTGTGCTGTATGTTTTCCTCAGTGATAACCTGTACCAAATGGCATCAATGGATTGTGTAACCTGGAACCAAATGAACAACCTGGCAACTTCGATGAAAAGGTGAGCCTTTATGTTTTTATTTAAATAACATTCTGTATACTACATTGTTGACCAGTGTTTGTGGTGGAGCAGCAGAGGAGGAACAAGATGAGGATTTGAACAGATGGCTGTTGGCCTACTGCCTAAGGAAATTAGGAAGTGGGGATGAGCGTATTCGTGTGTGTGTGTGTGTGTGTGTGTGTGTGTGTGTGTGTGTGTGTGTGTGTGTGTGTGTGTGTGTGTGTGTGTGTGTGTGTGTGTGTGTGTGTGTGTGTGTGTGTGTGTGTGTGTGTGTGTGTGTGTGTGTGTGTGTGTGTGTGTGTGTGTGTGTGTGTGTGTGTGTGTGTGTGTGTGTGTGTGTGTGTGTGTGTGTGTGTGTGTGTGTGTGTGTGGTTTAGCTATTTTATTGTGATTTTTTTTAAGTGTGTGTGACAAGACTTCGGAATTTTTAAGGTTTTAACACTTTAAGGTGTTTCCCTTAACTTTATTTATTTGGACTAGATGCACCGTCCTGACCAATTGATGAATTTATTTCATTTGCTAAAACTCTCAGTTTTGCACTCAAACTGTTTGTTTTATTTTGCTTCTGTCCAGCAGTGCCCATGCACCCAGCTATGACAGTGACCCCACAGCCCCACCCATGCTCATGAGTGCCCAGTATCACATACACACACATGGTGTCTACAGAGGACTTCAGGTCAGTCAGAGTTACACACATGCAGGCTCAAAACAACACACAGCCTTACAGTAAATACATACACAAAGTGCACTTCTGGACGACTAAGCCTTCTGACTTCTCTTTCTTAAAGGATGTTCGGCGCGTAGCTGGCATTGCTCCACCCAGTGTGAGGTCATCTGAAGTTAGTGAAAAGCGTCCATTTGTTTGTGATTATCCTGGCTGCAGCAAGAAATACTTCAAACTGTCACATCTGCAGATGCACGGCCGCAAACACACAGGTGAGAGGATTTCATTTAAACTCAGAACTGCTGCTAAATGAAATTGAGAAATTCATACAAACTTAAGAAATTATATGGTTGTTGGTATGATGCCCAGGTGTGAATGTGTATTGTTGTGTACAAAGTAAATTGATAAAGCTGTGGATATGGATGGTTTATTTTGCAGGAGAGAAGCCTTACCAATGTGACTTCACAGACTGCGGCCGCAGATTCTCTCGCTCAGACCAGTTGAAGAGGCACCAGCGCAGACACACAGGTACACCGGCGTAAAGCTACTGTATGAGTTAGGGTGTGACATCCCTCCAGGGCCTTGGCTGCCTCTGAGGACACTGACGTCATGAACTCAGTTCCCTTTTCTGGGAATTTAAAAAAAATTATAGATCCTAGGGGAACTGTCCATTCCACAACATAACAAAAATAAACCCACTGTTGGTACTCCACTGGGAGATTCAATTGTTTTTGGACCCAGTATATTTTAATTTGTCTATAAGGCCAATAAATATATGAATAAATAAGTAGGATTTGGTATGTTTCTATCTGTTCCTGTCACTGAGAAGAAGGCCAAAAAACAGGCTTTGGATTTTAAATAGACAAGATAATGTATATGACAAATCCAAATAATCTAAATATTCTTTTTTGTCAGATCAAAAATGATAAAACAAGCATTTATAACCAACTTAACTTTATTTCAAACACATACTGTAGCTTCATATCAGTATTAAACTATGACAACATATAATTAAACAAGAACATTGTAAACCATGTTGCTTTAACTAATTTGATATATAAATAATATGAATACATACATAAAACATGCTGAGATTATAAAATCGTCCGGAATGGTTTCAATTTGTAATGCTTACAACCTCCACATTGATTGCTCCATTTTATAACCTTTGACCCCTGCTCTGCTTTCTTCTCATTTCTATCTCTGTCAATACAACACTTGTTTGCACACCTGTGTAGGAGTGAAGCCCTTTCAGTGCGAGACGTGTGAGAGAAAGTTTTCACGGTCAGATCATCTTAAGACGCACACTCGGACTCATACAGGTAAAACAAGTGCGTATACCTTTATTTCCTACCGCTCCATTCTGAGACTATTCAAATACATTATAACACAAGTTTGCATTTCTATAGTTGTTGTAACTTTATCTTGTTTTTCTTCTTGTTTGTCCCCTCCTTGTCAGGTGAGAAGCCATTTACCTGCCGCTGGTCCAGCTGCGAGAAGAAGTTTGCCCGTTCTGATGAGCTGGTGCGCCACCACAGCATGCACCAGAGGAACCTGACCAAGCTGCAGCCTGCCATCTGAGCAGCGAGAGGAGGAGGAGGAGGAGGAGGAGGAGGAGGAGGAGGAGGAGGAGGATGAGGAGGATGAGGAGGATGAGGAAGCTGACAATATGTTGTGCCAGGCAGCCAGTGGTGAAAGCCGCAGGAGCCTGGTCAGCAGTTATGGAACCTTGCCAGACTGTGGTGAGCCCAGCTGATGCCTCCCTCTGCCAGCCGACGTAAAGAGACTCGTAATCCTCGAGAACTTCAGGATGCACCTCAACTAGCACTCGTTCGGGTTATTTGACATAAAAACTCAGACTGAGAGGGTACAACCACAGTTATTCTGAGCCAAGAAGAAGATTTTTTTTATGAGATGAGGAAAATGTTGATACACTATTTTTAGTAAACTTGCACTGGCTTTTTTTTAATGATTTTGTTTGTATTGTGTCACCTTGTAAACTGGATTAAGAAATGGGCAATGTGTCCATTCATTTGAGATTTTTTGCTTTGAGAAATGTGAACATCTTGATATTCTTACAGTTGAATTTCTCACTAAATTGCTCTGTATATATGTGGTGTATTTGCTTACTTTTATAGGCATTCCTTTTTGTAATTTCTATGTTTTTAAGTTTATAAAACTTTGATTCACATGGTTGTCAAGAGTCCAGAGTGTGTGTGTGTGTGTGTGTGTGTGTGTGTGTGTGTGTGTGTGTGTGTGTGTGTGTGTGTGTGTGTGTGTGTGTGTGTGTGTGTGTGTGTGTGTGGTGTGTGTGTGTGTGTGTGTGTGTGTGTGTGTGTGTGTGTGTGTGTGTGTGTGTGTGTGTGTGTGTGTGTGTGTGTGTGTGTGTGTGTGTGTGTGTGTGTGTGTGTGTGTGTGTGTGTGTGTGTGTGTGTGTGTGTGTGTGTGTGTGTGTGTGTGTGTGTGTGTGTGTGTGAGTGTGACAGAAGAGGTGTTGGTGTTGTCAGGTTAAGAGGCCACCTATGAGTAGTGGTGGCGGGGGATGAGGGGGTGACTGACAGTAAAACAGCACCCCACTGTGACTCTGACAGGGTGCAGGTCTCTCCCTCCTTAATCTCTAACACACATCTTCATAACTAGAAACATCTGGAGTTGAGTAAATCTCATTAGAAAAGACACATACCTCCGTGTCAGCTGGCTGTACCCCACTGACTGCCCCTTTCTGCATATAGGCAGGGCCTCAACATGCACACACACACAATAGCACACACACTCAGGTCCCTATAGAAAGCCTAAATGGTATTTTACATCATCGAGCCACATGATGGCAGTATTAGCCTTTACAGTCGAGCAGATGGGACTTGAGCTGAGCCCTTGAGTGTGACTGAACCGATGCTTATAATTTGTACATTTCCGTCTTCATATGGTACATGTCCACTAAAGTTTCGCCCTGAATAGCCACGATAAATATGTTAAAATCATCGAAAGTGAGAAAGAGGGATGCCCGTTCAGAGCATGCCCCGGCCCATCAAATATACATGATGTGGATGGAGTTGTGTGTCAAGTCTATAAGAGATGATTCAGCTACAGCAGGTATGTAAATAAAATATGACTGATGTGGGAAGAATAGAGCGGTTGCGTGGCTCTGTGGGCTAATGATGTCACATACCTGAAAAAGCAATGTAAACACGCACATGGTATATTTAGCTGTAAGCTACATGTTCACACATGGAAACCACAGCTCTCATTCACTTAAGACTTTCACACAGAACCAGAAACACACTTACAGTATACACACACACACACACACACACACACACACACACACACACACACACACACACACACACACACACACTCACATCTGCTCCTGCACTGCTGCTCTCATTTCCTCAGTAGATCCTGACATTTGCCAAACTAACAGAAAGATTAAAATGCCGTTCTCCTGTTTAAGGGTCACCGACTGCTCATTTGAAGTGGTGATCAGGTTGTTTTCCAATCCACTAAATGACTGTGAGCTAGTATCTCTGTGATGTTCTGCTTTTTTCTGATTCTTAATCCAATACACTTTGATTAAGAAGTGCTTCTCTTTGTTCTATCTCCACAGGGGCACCAGGAAGCGGAGGAAGATCAGAGGAGCAGCAGAGTTGAACATTTGACTCACTCCAGTTCACTCTTAACTGGAGACGGCCAAGGCTGTGTGCAGCGTGAGGAACCCATGCTTTAAATCTCCTCCATTAATACTGCAATCATTATCTCACACATTCAAAGAGACACTGACCTAAACCCTTGATTGATCTATGGGGTCAACGTTCCTTCAAAATGTTCGTTGTTGAAGATAGTGTAAGGAAATATCTGATAACACCACAATGTATGGGCTCAGTCTCGTTCTGCCAAACGTTACCGCCAATCTGAATGCATGAACACACACATATACACGCACACAAACTCGCATGCACACACGCCACCAGATGCCCCCTCAGCTGTACTGCTGGCTGTTTGCCTTTAAGGGGTGTCAGCGTGGGTAATCTCAGGTGACGTACACCTGGTAACGCACAGCCCAAGACATCTGTAGGACAGCAGGCCTGCTATAGCTTCACAGCCTCCATCTCCACATGCAACCCTCCGAAAAGGTTTCTTTTTGAATGCAAGTGTGATTTAACCTCACTGTCACATTTAAAAAGCCATGAAACAAGAACAGTTGACTCCATACATGCAAGTTTCCGCCTTCACTTTCTATGCACTAATGAGTCTTTTAATTTATTTAGTCTTATTTGTTGATATAACATTCTGAGAAGTCCCAGGTGCATACAACATCACTATGAATCCGGCTGTGTTTCTTTGGGCCAAAAATATATGATTTAACCTCCGGGTGCCGTAAAGGTCAATGCACATGTAGCACACAGAGGCCTCTATGAGCCCCGAGGGATTGTTAACAAGGTCAAGGCCCCAGAGAGGGGGTTACAGGGAGGCCTGCATGCAAAAACAATGCTACACCAACAGGAGGCGCTGTCGGGGAATGTTCAAATGTTAAGTGAAGCATGTACTTAGTTGTATTCCCAGACAGCGCCCCCCCCTCCCCTCGGGCTGGCTCTCTTGTGCAGAGCTGCTGCTCCACAGTCTGAGGGGCCTAGGGGTTCTTGGGGGTATTCCCTGTGGTAAAGCAGGGAGCCTGAGGGGCTCCGGTGTGTAGGAGCTTTGGGAATGCAGAGGCCTTGGGGGCCTGGAGATCAGATGGGGCCTAGAGGGTAAACTTTCTCACTCAGGGAGCAGAGATGGAGCAAATACAAAAAGACAGCAAGAGGAAAACACCTTAAGAGGAGTCTGTCAGATATGCAGGCAGCAGCCGGGAAGATCCCATGAGGGAACACAGACACAGAAACACAAACACACACATGGATGTATACTCCAACCCAAAACCAATATGTGGGCCAGCAAATAGAGGCAGAGCTTTTTAAATATTCTCTCTCTCCTCAACCATCAGGTCTTTCATCTTCTCTTCTTTCCTCCCTCCCGCTGTCTCCTCTATTCCGCTGGAAGATATTAACGCCTAACAGGATTAGATGTGTCTCTATCATGTGAGACACAAGATCACAAACCAACCCAAACCCCCTGGGGAACATCGTAACGGGAGGGATGAAACAAGGCCTTGTCTACCCTCTCCTCCCCTCCATCCCAAAGGTATCCAGATGCTGGGACATGGAGAGAGGACCAGAGAAACGAAAGAGACAAATGTTGACAAATGGAGCGAGAGAGGCGTTTTGTCCAAAGATATCAGTCTCACTGGGATAGTGTTTTCTCCACCCTCACTGTCATGAACTCCAAAATCAACTCTACTCTGAGCAGCTTTGCTCATCTTTTAATTAAAACTTGTAAAAGTTTCTTTCTTCATATATCATTGTAAGATACGCAGCAGACTGTCAGACTGAGTGGGCAACCAAAGCAGCGAAGCAGCTGTGTAAAAGCTGTTTGAAACTGATTTTGAGCCATCCTGACCTCAGTCCAAAGAGCTCCCATTACTCCAGAGGCAGTTACAATTAGTTACCAACTCACTAGGTTTATGCTTCCTAAATTGAAATGTATCGCTCTTTAAAGCCTCCTCTCTAATTGTGTAGTCATTAATGGCCGATTCCTTATCTACACTGCGTTGATGGGTACATAAAAACTCATGATGATAGACGAGCAGAAGTGCAGTTGTTAAAAAGAGAGGAGATTGTCTCTTGTTCTGTGTCATCACCACTAGGAGGAGTAGAGTCTTGTGATGGGAGAGGGGAGGGAGGAGCACTTTCTCTGGGATGACATGAAAGATTGATGGATTCGTTCAAGCTTCATTGTCCAGAAGTAGAAACATGTGAGATACCGAATTAGCCTACATTCATATGACACACGCACATACAATCACATAACTTGCACAAACACAGAAGGAACGGCCTGTGTAGCATCAGGGCTGTCGCCAGCATTTTGGAAAAGCTGAGGTCATAGGTCAAAGTTAACCAAACTCAGCCCCTACACCACAAACAAGAGTAAATTACATGATTTATCTGTTCAATTATATTTTCAATACATTTGAATGACGGTCTAAATTTACACTGCCAGAACACAATTCTGGTTAAAAATACCCAAAACTATTTTGAATACTTTATTTATTGCCCTTATTTAGTCAAATTCAAATAGAATTCAATTAAATTAAATTCAAAACCTTTATTTATCCAGGTGAAATCCCATTGAGATCATTGATCTCTTTTTCAAGGGAGACATGCAGCAGTAGGTTCCACATGAAGACATAAAAACATAAACAACAGAACAACAAAAGGACATCATACAGCAAAAATTACAGGGATTACAATTTACATATCTATCCACATGTACAGGTACCAACAGCATCTGATTGTGTAGCATCCAACCGAGCTTTAAAAACATGTAGTGGTACCAGATTGGTAATTTTCCATTCTTTTTGCAGACTGTTCCAAGTTAGTGGAGCTGCACATCTAAAAGCTTTCTTCCCTAAGACAGTCCTAGCACTTGGCACATTTAATAAAACCACAGCATGCGATCTCAGGCAATAACTACTTTCAAAACAACAATAACTTTGATCTTCTTGA